AGAGAGAGAGAGAGAGAGAGAGAGAGAGAGAGAGAGAGACTTAAATCTGGATGCAAGAGAAAACTTGCTATTTATCTCTCAGAATCTGGCTTACTTTGTTCAACCCAATGTATCTTATGGGAATGGAGAAAGGGGGAAGGGGGGACAATGAAATAGATGTGACATGAAATAAGGGGAGCCACTGGGAGGAGAAAGGGTCTATCTAGTAAGAGGAGAATGATGGAGGAGGAACAGAGGAAGAGAGGGATGAATAAGAATAATGTTTAGTGACATATATATTAAAATGACATAAGGAAACCCATTGCTTTGTATGCCTAATTAAAAAACTAAGAGAGTCTGGAGGAATGGCTTAGTGCGTAAGATCACTTGGTGCTTTTTCCAGGACAGAAATTCAGTTCCCAGTACTCATATCAAGAAGCTCACAAGTGCCTGTAAGTCTACATCCAGGGACCTAACACTTGCAAACATGTGCCATATACTCACACAGACACATACACATAAACAAAAATAATTTTTAAAATAAATTAAGGAAAAGAAAATTCAAGAAAAAGCAGGCATCTTCCTTGATCTTAATAAACTTGGATGGTAACAATGAAGTTGCTTTCTAACCCCTAACCCTTGACTTTTTATCTTATTGTAAGCTTGGGCTTTAGACTCTGATTTTTCAAATGCTGGTTAGGGGAATCACAAGGCAGATTAGCCATTGTGGACGTGGGATGTAATAAAAAGAAACAGTTAGCTGGAGTAAAGATTGAAAGGCTAGACTAACAGAAAGGGAGTCTGATGGGCCAAAGAGAAATGGAAGATCCATGAGACGATGTTCTACAGAACCCATCCTTCTCCTCTGAGAAGGCTCTGTCCATTCCAGGTGAAGATGGATAACACAGACTTGGAGATACACAACCACTGAAACATCAAGGAGGCTGCCCACAACCCTACCGGAGGCAAACCACTAAAGAGGGACAACAACTATAAGTAAGTGATAACCACGTGGAATGCAGAAGGTGGCTATACATTCATCCCCCTCCTTTATCTTTCTCACTCAGTTCTCTTAACCTTGGCATTCCTGACAGACGAGTTCAGTGCTCTATTTTAGATATTTCATTTTAGTGCTGTCCATACTCCCTTTTACAAAGGTCAAAATACCTTCAAGTAGAACCCAAGTCTTCCTGAATAGTAGGAGCAATGGGATGAAGTTTGGGGAAGGGAGATAGGGGACCTAAATCAATTCATTCTATGCTGCATTCACTGGCGTCTCTGACTCAGTACTATGCACGTAAGAAGGTGTTAAAGACACAAAGGAAATACATGAGAGACCTGATTCATTCTGAGAAGAAAAGTGGTATAGAGGAAAGGGCATGGAATTTAGAATCTTAGGAATGGGTTCAATTTCCACACATGCTACCAATAACAAGTTAATCTTAGTATACTCACTGAACATCCTTTGTTTCATTATCTGCACAATGGAACTGATAAGACAATCACCTCCACTGGTGATAAGAGCATCAATCATATACCAGGCATTTCTATAGAAGCATTTTACTCCCTTCTCAATACTTTCCCTCAGTCTGTGGTCTTCCTGAGCAGGCTGCTAGCAGTTAAAGACAGAGGAGAGCCCCAAACCCAGGAAGGAGGAAAATGCCTCTAAAACTATCGTCAACTGAAGGGTCTGTCCCATATTTGTAGCATGGATGCTATTTAGTGATTTCTTTTCATTCTGTCAGTCTCCAATTACACAGGATGTGTTCCAGTGTGAACCTACAAAGTAGGAACTATACCCCTATCTGCCTCATAGCCTTCTGGTAAACACTGCCATTACTCCAAAAACCAGTGTGATGTTGGCCATACCTATGTGTGGTCTAACTTCGAGGAAGGCATAAGGCTAATTTCCAAAGAAAAATGGGCAACTCACCAATGAGACTGAAGAGGCATGTGCTCAAAACGGGGGGGGGGGGGGGGGGGGTGGGGGGGGGGGGGGGGGGGGGGGGGACGACTATTTCAATAGGAGCTCACATATGTATCACAGAAGAACCTACACAGGAGAACTGCACAGAGTGACAGGGAATGCTCTACAAGTTACATCATCAGAAGAACCTGGTTGCAACTTGAGGTGCTGCCAGTGCCTCAGGTTTCTACAATGGTGCTGGAGGGAAGTAGAAAGCTGCCAGGGGCCATCTTTCACAACTTCAATTTTCTCCTCCTTCAAACACGGCCAACAAATTCAAATACATACTTATTGATCCATTTGTCATCTACATTTTAACCACAAGTTCCAAGATCTTGATCAGGAAAAACTGATTTTGTGGAAATGTTTTGTTTTTGTTTTTTTTACAAAATTAGGTGGCCACTGTAGTCCCTTCTGCAGTTCTCAATAGATGAGGAATCTTAAGTCCCACAGTCCAGAACTCATTATTACCCATTGGTCATCTCTTAGATTATAATTGTATTTTTCAACTAACTAAAAATGTGAATTCTAGGCAAGGAAACCCCACAATCTTAATGATAACTTTAAAAGTACTCACTGACAAGGAAAGTTGTATTTCTTTGTGGTTGTAGTTTTTGGAAATTCTTTTCTTCAAAGCTTTTACTGCATCTTTTGGCCTATGGAAATAAACACACTGAGATGATCAATCTGAATTGTAGAAGTGGTCTCCCTGAAAGCAGTGTGCAATATGGAAATAAGAATGGCTTATGAGTAAAGACTGATGTGTGATTCAGCTACCACTTAGGCGGGCCACTTACCTTACCACATCTAAGTTTCCTTGTGAAATAGATAGATCATACCACCTGCCACACCCCCACTTCCCCGTGAGACACAACTAAGATGTTTATATAAGTATATTTATTACTTATACTTATATTACAGAACTCAGAGAGCTGAGTTCTGCTCTCTGACAGACTCAGCAAAATACGGTGATCAGTTGGATGTGTTAATTTAGATGAAGGATAGCTGAAGATACTAACGCGTGTAACTTAGTAGTGAAGTTAATAGCGTCATTAGCTAACATTAAAAAGCAGATTTAGAACTGGAGAGATGGCTCAGGAGTTAAGAAACTGACTGCTCTCCCAGACATCCTGAGTTCAATTCTCAGCAACCACATGGTGGCTCACAACCATTGCTAATGGGATCTTGAAAGACCCCCCCCGAAGAGGTACTTTCGTAGAAGGAGACCCGCACCCAGGAATCAGCGAGACCACGAGCTTGGATGCAAAACCGCAAGAGGCTTTATTGGAGATACGGGTACCCGGGCGACTTAGAAAACACTGGTCAGGAAATGTATGCACACCAGCTTCTATCAAGGTTCAAAATCAGGTCACAAGAAACATAACCCCAAAACAATCAAAGAAAAGTTATCCATTTAAGATTCTTAGCATTTCCTGAGTATCCAATTGGTAAGGGGATATAGGAATTACAGCAGTTTGCTAATTCTGATGTGCTGCAACTTTATGTTAGGAAGATCTGAAAGCAGAGAGTCAAGATTCATTTTATTAGATTTCTCTTTTGCATGGTCAATGAAGAAATTGATAATGGTCACAAAAAGGTTCACTGAGAATCTAGACACAACATGGGGCAGAAATTGTTATAAATGTGGATCTGGGGAGATGCTGAGTGGGCAAAGCACTTGCTGTGCAAAGCTTGAAGACCTGAGTTGGGATTCCCAGACCCAGGTAAATTTCTGGTGGATGGATTACAGTCTGTCTGTCATTCTAATGCTTGCTTAGATGGTAGAGAGGGTCTCCAGAGGTAAGCTGGCTAGTTGGCTAGCCTTCCTGCCGAGCTTTGGATTCAACTGAGAAACTCTGATTCAATAGATAAGAAGGAGAACAATTGAAGAAGATTCTTGATATTAGCGTCAGGCCTCCACACTTTAGTGTGTTCACACACATGTGAACACACATGCATTCATGCATACCACATACAGAGACACATTAAAAAAAAAAAAAAACCTGTAAATTCTTAGAAATGCCAACCATAGGCCCTTGCCATTAATATATAACCAATAATTATGGTACCACATTTTCTTCATCAGCATACACTAGACTGAATCTTTTTCTATCAGTTGTCCCTTAAAAATGTCCAGGGAAATGAGCACATTCCACCTTTTATCATAACCTTGTGATGACTGAATTCAAAGTAGTAGTCCTTGTCAAAGATTTTTCCTCTTTTTTTTTTCTTTTTAATGACCTCAAGATTAGATAGTGTGTCAATACACAGCACATCTTGTAAGAGTACAGCATGAACACGGGTGAGCTGGCATGATGAAGGATAAGCACTGTTCCCTGACAAGGAAAGAAAAGACTATTCAACTGTTTCCTGAATAATCAAGAGGGTTGGTCTCCACTGGCCTGGACACCACCAGAAGCCACTCAGCTTCCAGTTTCTGGATAATTCTTTTGTTACATAAAACACTGGCAATCAGAGCATAAGAATGCTCTAAAGGAAAAAAAAAGCAATTTATCTGTCTCTTGAAAAAAAAAAAAAACTTTTTTAAAAAGGGAATTGGAGCAAGACAAAGACAAAATATAAACTAGTGAAGAAAAGGCAAAGGAAGGGACAAGCTCTAATGACCTCTTGGATGCTGTGCACGCTGGAGCAAGGACTTGTTCCCAGTGTTAGCCTGCCACCTTCACAAGCTAAGAGGTGCCTAAGGGGAAGCAAAACATTCTCTCAGTGGAACACTCAAAACTTGACAAGGGAAAACACTCAACTGCAGTTCTGATGTATCTTACCTGGGCACAAATACACAGACACCACTTTGAACTTACCCGTCCTGTGTTGTGTTAATTATGTCACAGATATGCATGAACTGGCCCCAGTCTTCAGTCTGAACTCCAGCAAATGTAGCCTTTTCTACAAAGATAAAGTTGCTTGTGTTGAGCCTGAGTCACAACAGAATAAAAAATATCTTGTCTCTTTGAAATAGTCTGCCTGGTGCACTAACAAGTACCATTAATTCTATGCTACCAAAGGGTACTGTGACTTTTTCCCCCTCCTAAACAATTCCCAGTAATTCAGGAATCAATCAGAAGTCAAGTTCAGAGGGCTGCTGTTGCAACAGTAATGAGTGAACCATTAAGAAAGCCTACAATAACTGGCCACAGGGCCCAGACAGACCATTTAAATCTCCATTCCCCTGGGCTCTTGCAGAAGATGCCGTAGACTGGGTAGTTATGGGCAAGGTGAAATACATATTGAAGGGACACTAGTCTGCCCGAACCTGGCATGCATGGCTCTGGCAGGCCTTGCCCTTCTCTCCGATTCCCCGTCTTTCTAAAAAAACCCATTAGATTACATTCCTGAAGCTAGCCACCAAGGTCTATTCCTTTATTTGACCACTTCCTCCTCCTACGAAGGTCCAACTACGGAAGTATTAGATTCTAGCAATCAGAAGCCTCCTTTTGCCTACCCTAATAACATGTCCAATCACAATTAAACACCTCATGGTAATACAAGGTTTCCCCTTTTACCTTTATAAACTGCCATTTTCCTATGTGCCACATCTGTCTCCTCTCTATCTAGAGGCAGTCCTTCGTCTCTCCAGAACAAACACCCTTTTTCTCCTCTCCCTTGTTCCCTTTCCCTTCTCCTTCTTCCGCTGTCTCCTGTGTTTGTCTCTTATTTATTCCCTGCCCTCTGTCCCTCTGGGACAGATAAATCTCCTTGGTGTTGGGAACTTGGTTTTGGGGGTCCTGAGCCCATACTTCTCCTTTCACACCTCACTAAGTCTTTTCTCATTTAACCCACAGTTACAGATGATGAAAGAATTTCAGAGAGAGAGAGAGAGTAAAGAAATTACTCATGGTTACACATCAAATAGAACTTGCATTCAAATCAAGCCTATTTGATTTCACTATTTGTATTTCTAAATTATGTATTCGGTGGGGAGATGAGAAAAAAGGAAGAGACAGCATAATAACGGAGCAAGACGGCTTCTGGCATCAAAGTTACGACAGGCAGATTTACACACACTTATACCCTTGACATTCCCTTTTCTAGATAGACTCTTTAAGAACACAGAACAAGGGTCAGAGAACCTCTAAAGCAGTGATTCTCAACCTTCCTAATGCTGCAACCCTTTAACACAGATCTTCAAGTTGTGGTGACCCCAATCATAAAATTATTTTTATTACTACTTCATAACTGTAATTGTGTTACTGTTATGAATTGAAATATAAATATCTTTGTTTCCCAATGTTCTTTGGTGGAAGGGCCATTGGAAGTCCAAAGGGATTGTGATCCACAGGCTGAGAACTACTGTTCTACTGTCAGTGTGTTTACTGGCTTCTACGACAAAGATCCCCAAGCATGGTACAAACCATAGCGGGACACTTGAATCTGGCTCTGAATGGACAAAGCTGAGCAATCCTGCCTGTGTTGTTGGGCACACATTATTCTTCCATCTGCCAGATACTTCTTCCTCTTCCCTCCCGACCTGCCTAGAGAACTCCTATTCACCCTTCAAAGGCCATGGCTGAGTTCATTTCTCCCCTTTCATAAGTGTTGCATGCCATGTTTTCTAGTGTTGTAAAGGTTCTTACAGTGGTTCCTACAGAATATGTCCACCTTCCTCATAAGCAAAGGCATTCCCTGAAGGTAGAAACTATGCCTTCCCAAAGGATAATTTGACATCCTGCTGGAGTTTCTTTTGCTTATGAAGATTCACGTCGTTCTATTTCTTCCCGGGAGTCATTTTAATATGTACCATCAAGCAAGGAGATAGGCAGTGAAGAAAGTGTTTTCCCTCAAGGGCAGCACTCTTCCCGTATTTTGAAGATGTGGAAACAGTAAGTTCAAAGGTGTTCCCTGTCCCTAAAGCAGTTAACTTATCCTCAGCCTAAACCCTCTGAGTCTAAGCCCTCCACAACCAGGTTCTTAGGATTCCATCACCCCATTTAGTTCCAGACAGTTTGTCATTAATACACGCTGGTGCCACACCCTGTCCTCAAGGGAGGGGTCGGGACAAAGACAGGAGCTGAGGTGGCAAAAGGCTAAGTGTAGTCAGTGACTTCTAAGTCCACCCCTGTAGTTCAGAACACAGGCACAAGGGAGAAGGGAAGGCAATGCTGGGTTGGAGGGTGATGCTTGTGGGCGTCTGTGACTCTGGATGGCCCATCTCCCCGTCCTCAGCACCAGCAACAAGCATTTTCAATCTCCGAGTTTAAGCAAAAGGTCACTCAGATCGCTTGAGCTGTGAGCTGGAGAAAATTGGTTTGGAGAAACCTGCCTCTCCAGGTGAGGTAACGCTAATTTGCTTCTCTGAGCCTTCGCCTCCTCGTCTGTAAAATGGGTATAACAATAAAGTGCCGGGAGTGAACGCACTTTATGAAGAGCCGTCCCCGGGTCAAGAAGTTTCCACTTTCTCCTCCCAGAGGTCCCAACACTCCATACAGTGCTGCGGGTCACCTGCTTGGCTCCACTCGCCCAGCTGACATCCAAAGGACGATTTTGCTTTTTTTTTTTTTTTTTTTTTTTTTTTTTTTTCCCCAGAAAGGTTTTGGTGCAAGTGAGCCAAGAAAGGAAGGCGGACAGCTGCCGCAGGTGGCACACAGGTGGCGTGGGAAAGCTGCGGGGGAGGGTAGCATTCCCTCCAACTTGGTCCAACTCGGCCCTTCCAACAGTCGAGAATGGAATCGAGCGGGCAAAGCTCTCACGGTCCCCAAAGCCAGGCAGACTGTTTCTCCCCGCGCCTCCTTACCTACGAGGTGACCCACGGAGGTAGCGTAGGGATCGCGGTGACTCTTCCCAAACGCCATGGTAGCTCCAGAAAACCCTCCCAGGAAATCCGCCTCCACCGCTCTCCGACGCGTGACCCTAGGTGGGCTGGGAGCCCGGATGGAATCCTGTGGCCCTGCACCCCATGCCTTGGAACTCAGAGCCCAGCTCCAATATCTCCATTTGAGGCCTGAAGACCGCTCCTCTCCATTTGGAGCCTAGGCTGTGCGGGGTGGGTTGCAAACACAGAGCAGAGGGATTTTGCTAAGGTTAATGGAAGGACGTAGACCTCTCAGGCCACTGTCACACACACCCCATCCAGAACAATGAGATTTCGCCTATTCCCATTCCCACACCAGAGATCCCTGAACCGATTCTTGCGCCCTTCCCTTTAAATCTACGGGACAGGGAGGAGGATGGGCTGATGAGGAGAGCGACAGCCTCCCTGGAGCCCGGCCTTTGTTTCTCTCCTGTTTCCAAGAGGGACCACAGGGCGCCGCCACACAAGCTCTTGGCTTCTAACTCCATCTCCTAGGAGCCCTGCTTTCCAGCCTACTGGTGAAAGGAGAGTGGGGCTTTCCTGGGGCTCTGGCAGGAAATATGTTTGGAATGTAAATCCACATTAAGAAACCAAACCCCTTTGTAGCTTCTCTATTGGAACCAAGATTTCTTTTTCCTTTAGTTCAGCTAACATCCAATAAACCAGGCTCCGATCTGTAGGATGCCTCCTGAGGGGTCTGGCTACTCTGCTGGTGGTAATTTTTGCTTCCTGTGGCTAACTGGAACTCAGTTCCACATATGTGGTGGGTTTATTTTCCTCCCTGGTAATGGTGACTACGAAGGGCAAGAGGACCTGGCCTGACTCGTGTTTTAGTCTTAAATATTTTAGCATAGATGCCCAAACCAGTTATATTGTGCTCCAAGTGACTAACATCTATTTTATTGATATAGAATCTTCTTCCTCCTCCTGAGTGAGTTGGCATCTATATCATCCGATCTAAAATGCAGCATTTTTGTTGTGATGATGTTTCTCATTATGTGGTTGTTCTTAGCTGACATAGGAAGTGTTTATCAGGCCCGCTAGCTGATTCATGTGGTGCCATTTATCTCCTCCTTAGTCAAATTGTCATCACAGCTGAAAAACCTCTTTTGGTGACATCCGCCTGATCTCTGTTTCGTGTTCTAGTCGCTGGCAAATCCTTTGCCTTCACTGCAGAGTGAGTGCACTGGGGCAACATTAAGGAGAAAGTCAAGTTCAGCACTAGCTCAAGAGCTGATGACCCTCTATGGGGAACAAGAAGTAGGAAGGAACCAAGTATCCCCATAGATCATTTACCCCCTGCTTCTACTGAGAGCGGGGTTAGGCTTTTTGTCTCCCTGTCTGATTTCCTTACATGGCAAGATTGAGAGAGAACGGAGGAAGAGTAGTGAGGAGGGTGCCCTGGGCACAGTGGCTACTGAGAACCACTGGTGTTGTTTCCCAGCTCTGCCTGCAGGGACTCTGCCCCACCCCCCAGGATGTTATCATGGCTGTAACCATTTCTTTCTCCATGATTCCACCCTTCCCCAAAAGTGTGGATCAAACCAATCGGTGTTACTGTGGTCTAGGAGAAGGACATTAGAAGCCACAGCCAAGTGGAGGTCAGAAAAGAAGCATAATTCTAGACAGAGACAAGGATTAAATATCTAGATACCACTGGGCTGGAGAATCGGCTCAGGGGTTAAGAGCACTCTAACTCTTTAGAGGTTGCTCCTCTAAAGAACCAGACTTTTCATCCCAGCACCCAGATGGCAACTCACAGCTATAGGTAACTCAAGTCCCAGTGGATCTGACACTCTATTCTGGCCTGCATGGGCATCAGGTACACGCATGTACACACATGGTGCACAGACATACATGCAGGCAAAATACTTACACACATAGAATAAAATACAGTTTAACTACGTGACTAAATAGATAGATACCAGGAGCCCAAACTTGTTAAGAACTCTTCCAAAGCATTTTTTTTATTATGTGTGTATGTATGATGTATGTGTGTAGGTATGCAGACACATAAGTACTGTGTGTTGGTCAGAGGACAACCTCAGAGTTTCTTTGTTGTCCTTGTCTGAAGCTTCCTTCCATAAGCCAGGCCAGCTGTGCTTCCAGGAGATTTTGTCTCTGCCTCCCACCCCAGCAGGATTGCCAATGCACACTACTGCACACAGCCTTCCATGGCTTTTGGAGATGCAAACTCAAGTCCTCACTTGTTGTGGCAAATGCTTGGAAACACACCAAGCCCTCTCTCTGGCTCTGCTAACCATTTAAGTGTGTGTACATCATGATGCTAGGTAAAAATGAGTGAGATACCACTTTTCAAAATGTGTTTAATGCCTGCAACTGGAAACCTTTCATTACTGTGGTAAGAAAAGTAGCATAAATTTCATTTTTATAAATAAGCTGAGATTCGAAAAGATAGAGCTGTCAAATGACGTGGCTACATTTTGAGCCATGGTTGTCTGATTCTGGAGCCTATATTACTGCCAATATTTGAAGCTGATGACTGAGTGTAGTATTTTACTTGTTAAAGGATTCTGTTTGATTCAAAGTAAGACCTTGACAAATGAGGCCGTCTACTGGCACAGCATTCTGCTTTGTTTTATTTTTTCTTTGTTTGCTCAAGAATGCTAGTGTGTTTTTGCTAGTACCATAAACTAGATGTGTTCTCTATTCATTACATGATTAATCCCATAGTAGGTATGAAACCAGATTTTACATATTAAAACAATTAATGCAGATAATTTTTCACAGTCACACTGCTAGTGAAAAACCATCAGACTACAAGATTCCGTGACTTTAACCACTGTGCTATAGCATCCTTTCGTGGTCCTGAATTGTAGGCAATGCACTTACCTAGTACACACATTGAAAAAAGTAGGTTCGTGGGGAAGGTGCTTGCAGAATGTGGGAACCAGAGGTGGTAAATGAGCACATGTGTAAAATGAAAGCTGCTACATCCGAATGAATTCCATCAGTGATTCTGTCTCTCACTAACGAAAATTTTAGTTTAACAGAACTAGATATGGCTTTGGAAGTCACACAGTCTCTGTTACCAGCATTTTAGCGTGACAGCCAATGACAATGAGTGACCCGCCCAAGGCTATCCAACTCCAGACTAGGATGACACAGCATAGGTTAAGGATAAAATGCTCACTCCTCTTTTTTGTGTTTCTTGTTTTGAGATTTAAACGTGAGCCTCCACCCCCTCTATAGTAGCTTCTGTAGCTTTCTTTCTCTGTACTCTTTCCCATTTGGATGTGTTCAGTTCTAAACCTTACCCATCCCTTCCCAATTAGGCTTCTATGGAAACTGCCTTCTGTAGCCATGTGAGAAGCAACCCTAGCATCCAGGCTTAACCTTTGCCTCTATCTTCCTTCTTTCCTCCAGGGACCAGCTCCTCCCTCCCTCCCTTTCTTCTTCTCTGCTGGTTCCCAATGATCTTTCACCTGGTTCCATTTTCCTCTTTGCTGTGCTAAACCTAATCTTCCACATCTTTCCACATCCTTTGCTTCATCTTTCTCTGGGTCCCTCCGCCATATTCTCCTTTTCCATTCTTTAACGGGGAGTCTTTTCTGACCCTCCCCACGTGACCTAAACCTTTCTTTCCTGCCTTAAGTGTGTTTCTTCTTTAGAATCTCCAACAATTTATGCTAGCTGATTATTCAGAAACGACTTGCCTGCCTGCCTTCTAAATAAACGTCTCTCTGGGGAATAGGACCATGTTTGCTGGGTTGTGCATTGTGCCACTCAACAAACTTGAAAAGATACATATTGAATGTATGAATATCCCTTCAAAATCTTAAGCAGCTCTGCTCTCCTTTATATCCAGTCCCTTTTCTGTCCCTCACCATACACATACACATACACACACACTCACACACACACACACACACACACACACACTCACACTCACACACTCACACACATATGCATGCACACACCCTGGATGGCTTGGAAACTGAACTCAGTGTGACTAGTATTGTGCTTAACGCCCTCTTCCACCATCTCTAGTTGACTGACTGTCTTGTTTTGACTGCACCAGTTATTCTCAAATTCAATGCACCAGCTGGCTGCAAAGAGTGTTGCTGCATGGGAGCCATCCCCAGACTTCTGCATTTAACTTGTATTGGGTGTATAAAGGGCATCAAGATATGTAAGTGTCCTCAGTTGACATCACAATTTCCTAAATAGGATATCTTGGCACTCTCTGACTTTTGTTTAATCAGTTCTGGATTTCTCTGTGTTTTATGCCACATCACTTTCTGCCTGTTTGTTTTTCTCCATGGGCCACACTCTTCACTCCAGTAGTTCTTTGACATCGCAAGTCTGTTCACGGGTAAAATTAAGTCTGAGTTTTCACAAACCCAACCAGTCCTCCTGAATCTAATGGCATATTGTTTCTCCTCAGCAGTAATGTTTTTGTTTGTTTGTTTGTTTGTTTGTTTGCACAATAAATCTTGCCCACTAATTTTGAAACCCATATACATACTTTGTTTCCAGTGATTTTTAACAGTGCTATAATTTTATAATTTCTGATTATAAAAAATGAAGTTCCAGGAAAAGCATTTCTACATTCTTCTTCTGCAATAGCTATCAGGTTCATGAAGATACCCCTTTCCCTCCACATCTTCCTTCAAGACCTTTTTGCTCCCTTTCTATGGGACTTGGCCTGAACTTACAGACCCAGGATGAGAAGGAGAAAGGTCATAGGGATAGAAAGGCAGCTGGCACTTGACTTCTTCAGACACAGTCCAGGTACTGGCTTTCCATTAATACCCAAGATGATCTTAAAATCATTCCTATTTTACTGATTTTCCTAAAGTCACTTAGAATTGAGAGGAGAATTCAAAATTTTCTTATCTCAAAGTGCAGCTCGTTTTCCATCACATCATAACCTCCTCTCGCCAAAGGATTCTGCCCTTGATCTTGGAAAACATCTGCAGCATTGGGCCCAATGTTCCTCATTCAGAAATGCAAAGGAGAAGTGTATTGACTTAAGGG